ACCTTTCAAGTACATTATTTACAGTGATAAATTATCAAAAGTAAATGGCAAAGGGGAATAACTCCTCTCAGTAGAATACAAACTAATAGAGCCCTGGCCAGGACCAGAACACTTGACCAAATGGTCCAGATGTTCAAAAATCCCCTTCCTTATAAAAATTTTTACTCTATTTGCCTCAGATATGCCCAGGTGCGGAGAAGATTTTTAAAGAAATAATGCATTTTTACTACAGATTCACTATATTATCAATAGAGCCCCCCCCCCCAACCAAAACACCAGAGCTTCTGACCCTGGGACCATAAGTTTGCTCATCATAACTAATCACTTTGTTTATCTGCTTAACACTAAGGAGCAAACAGGATTATTTAATAGAATTAATGCATTTTCGCTATATTATCAAGAGCCCCACCCTCACACCAGCACATCTGACCCAGGGGTCATGAAATTCACTACTCTGAAAGAAGCACTCCAGCTCATCATAACTATACACTTAGCTTCTTTGCTTTTTTAACCAGAAGCAGAAAAGAATATTTTCAAAGAAATCTTGCTTTTTCACTTTATAATCGATAGAAGCCCCCCCCCCCCCCCTCACCAGAACCCTTTAACCTGGGGTCATAAAATTCACAATTTTGGAAGAGGCATCCTTGCATACCATAACAATGTACTTAGTCTGTTTAAACAATACCTAGGGACAGAGAAGAAGATTTTCAAAGAAATAATTCACCTTCACTATAGGATCTATATAGCCCCACCCTAGCACCAGAACTCGTCCCCAGGGCCATGAATTTCACAATTTGGAAGAGGCATCCTTGCATACCATAACAATGTACTTAGTCTGTTTAAACAATACCTAGGGACAGAGAAGAAGATTTTCAAAGAAATAATTCACCTTCACTATAGGATCTATATAGCCCCACCCTAGCACCAGAACTCGTCCCCAGGGCCATGAATTTCACAATTTTGGAAGAGGCATCCTTGCTTATCATAACAATGTACTTAGTTTGTTTAAATAATACCCAGGTGCAGAGAAAAAGATTTTTAAAGAATTAAAACATTTTCAATTTATTATCAATAGAGCCCCGCCCTAACACCAGAACCCCTGATCCAGGGGCCACGAATTTCTCAATTTTGGAAGAGGCATCCTTGATTATCATAACTATGTATTTAATGTGTTTCAATAATACCCAGGAGTAGAGAAGAAGATTTTCAATGAATTAATGCATTTTCACTATATAATCAATAGAGCCCCGCCCTAACACCAGAAAACCTGACCCAGGGGCCATGAAATTCATAATTTTGGAAGAGGCACTCTTGCTCATGATAACTATGTACTTAATTAGTTTATCTAATACCCAGGAGTAGAGAAAAAGATTTTCAATGAATTAATGCATTTTCACTATATAATCAATAGAGCCCCGCCCTAACACCAGAACCCCTGCCCCTGGGGCCATGAAATTCACAATTTTGGAAGAGGCACTCTTGCTCATGATAACTATGTACTTAGTTACTGAATTTAATACCAAGGAGCAGAGAAGAAGATTTTCAAAGAATTAATGCTTTTTCACTATATAATCTATAGAGCCCCGCCTTAACACCAGAACCCCTGCCCCTGGGGCCATGAATTTCACAATTTTGGAAGAGGCACTCTTGCTCATCATAACTATATACATTGTACTTAGTTAGTTTATTTAATACCCAGGAGCAGAGAAGAAGATTTTCAAAGAAATAATGCACTTTCACTATATGATCTATATAGCCCCACCCTGGGGCCAGAACCCCTGACCCTGGGGCCATGAATTTCACAATTTTGAAAGAGGCACTCTTGCTCATGATAACTATGTACTTAGTTACTGAATTTAATACCCAGGAGCAGAGAAGAAGATTTTCAAAGAATTAATGCATTTTCACTATATAATCAATAGAGCCCCACCCTAACACCAGAACCCCTGACCCTGGGGCCATGAATTTCACAATTTTGGAAGAGGCACTCTTGCTCATCATAACTATGTACTTAGTTACTTTTTTAATACCCAGGAGCAGAGAAGAAGATTTTCAAAGAATTAATGCATTTTCACTATATAATCAATAGAGCCCCGCCCTAACACCAGAACCCCTGACCCTGGGGCCATGAATTTCACAATTTTGAAAGAGGCACTCTTGCTCATCATAACTATGTACTTAGTTACTTTATTTAATACCAAGGAGCAGAGAAGAAGATTTTCAAAGAATTAATGCATTTTCACTATATAATCAATAGAGCCCCGCCCTAACACCAGAACCCCTGACCCTGGGGCCATGAAATTCACAATTTTGGAAGAGGCACTCTTGCTCATCATAACTATATACTTAGTTACTTTTTTAATACCCAGGAGCAGAGAAGAATATTTTCAAAGAATCAATGCATTTTCACTATATAATCAATAGAGCCCCGCCCTAACAACAGAACCCCTGACCCTGGGGCCATGAATTTCACAATTTTGGAAGAGGCACTCTTACTCATCATAACTATGTACTTAGTTACCTTATTTAATACCCAGGAGCAGAGAAGAAGATTTTCAAAGAAATAATGCACTTTCACTATATGGTCTATATAGCCCCACCCTAGCACCAGAACCCCTGACCCTGGGGCCATGAATTTCACAATTTTGGTAGAGGACTCAATGCTTATTACAATGATGCCAACAGTTTGACTGCTTGATGTCCAGGAGTAAAGAAGAAGATTTTTAAAGATTGCATTAATTTTGGTGGTTTTAGCCCCACCCCCCAGGCCCCAGGGGGGCAGGGACCATGAAATTCACAATTTTTGTTCCCCTTTACCCATAGATGCTATATGACAAATTTGGTTGAAATTGGTTGAGCGGTTTCAGAGAAGAAGCTAAAAATTTCAAATGTTAACGCACATCGCACGACGACGGACAAAAACGGATAGCAATAGGTCACCTGAGTGACTCAGGTGACCTAAAAACTGAAAAAACTATAAATATGTTTATTAGGAGAAATTACATTGCTGTCTTTTCTCCTTGAATTATCTTCCTTATTTCTTTTCACTACGACGTGATGTAGCATTGTACATGTACCTCTGACTACTGTATATATGTTTGTTTGTTATTAATTTTGTAACTTATGTACTTTTGTTTGAGTGAATAAATTGAACTTTAAAAAGGGGGAGTCTTGACACACACACACACACCCCCATCCCCCAAAAAATCAACATTAAATTCTTTTAAACAAATAATGATTAGTTTACATATCATCAGGGAATTTTTTAAGTCTGATTTTTATTTATTTTATTATTTTTTTTTTAGGAAGGTTATAAGGTAACATTCTTTACTTACCTACCAAAAGTTACCTTTATTAAAATTTTGATTAACTTAATTATTGGAGCGTCCGATGAATTTGGTTTACTGTGTACCCAGTCACACATTTTACATCTACACATAGTAATCATTGGGCTGTAAATATTTCACCCACAGTAATTTGTGAAAATAAACAAGAGGCCCATGGGCCACATCGCTCACCTGAGTAACTTTGGCCATGCTGTTCTTTACCAGATTCCTCCCCCCCCCCTCCTTGTAATACCTATTGTGGCCCCGCCCTACCCCGGGGGGTCCTGTTTGAACAATTTAGAATCTACACTACCCAAGGATGCTTCCACATAAGTTTCAGCTTTTCTGGTCCAGTGGTTCTTGAGAAGAAGATTTTTCAAGATTTTTCCTATATATTTCAATGTAAAACTTGGATTCCCTATTGTGGCCCCGCCCTACCCCCGGGGGTCATGATTTTAACAATTTAGAATCTACACTATCCCAGGATGCTTCCATATAAGTTTCAGCTTTTCTGGCCCAGTGGTTCTTGAGAAGAAGATTTTTAAAGATTTATTCCTCTATATGTCAATGTAAAACTTGGATTCCCTATTGTGGCCTCGCCCTACCCCCGGGGGTCATGATTTTAACAATTTAGAATCTACACTACCCCAGGATGCTTCCACATAAGTTTCAGCTTTTCTGGCCCAGTGGTTCTTGAGAAGAAGATTTTTTAATGACCCCACCCTAATTTTGTCTTTTCTTGATTATCTCCCCTTGTAAGGGGACTTGGCCCTTTATCTTAACAATTTAAACTCCCCTTCACCCAGGGATACTTTGTACCAAGTTTGGTTAAAATTGGCCCAGTGGTTCTTGAGAAGAAGTTGAAAATGTGAAAAGTTTACAGACGGACGGACAGACGGACGGACGACGGACAACAGGTGATCAGAAAAGCTCACTTGAGCTTTCAGCTCAGGTGAGCTAAAAAGGCAATATATCAAATCTTTTCAATAATATTGTTTCGTTAACTGATGGTCAACGGAAAAAGTTAAACTTTTGCGACGTAGCTATTTTACCTTTCTTGTAAGCGAAAGTCTGGTGCAGGTTCTTTTTTAAAATCTTTTTATGCCGAAATGAAAAAAAAAAAAAAAATACATGTATTTTCCTTCATTATTCAGTTTAAAAACCCTGGAAAACATCAGATACTTCGGACAAGTTCTTTACATGCGGTATGTTTTCTTCAGACATAATCTGTAGATTACGTCAACATCAACGTCATAATGGGGCAAATGACGTAATATTAAACTGAATGAAGGGAAAAAATATTTTCATAATGATGCATTTTAGGTTTATTACAATAATCATAACTTCAAACTAAAAAAACAAGTACCTGTTCATTTCTTGTCAAAATCGTTTGTAAATCGAATGTAAAATCGTATCGTGTGACCACCCCACCAAACGACTCCAATCGACTTACCTGAGCAAATCGAATGAAAATCGAATGAAAAATTGCATCGTGTGACCGCACCTTAATATTAGCTATACACAATTAAGGCTATAAGGACATGAAAAAGTACAGACTAATGAGCATGTTGAATTAATTCCCTCAAACTTAGCAGGAGCAGGGATAAATATTTTTTTTATGAGAATTTTTTCCTTGCTACCTTTAATTTACCAATAAAAAATCATTTAATTTACCTTTTTAACAGATTCAATGCTTGAAGAGTTGATGGAGTTTTCTGAAAACATGTGTCCATAAAATTCTGAATGTTAACCTACAAAAGAAAATCATGCATAAAAATTTTGTGTTTATGTGACTAGAGTTTATTTTCTGTTGCAAACTAGTCCTAAGATAGAACCAGTCCCTAATGAAAATTGACTCTTGGGGGGAGGGGGAGAGAAGGGGGGATTGAGGTAAAAATTCCCAAATCAAATAAGCAAATTGAATTTTTTAGTGCTTTTTATTGAAAAATTTTTGAACTTTGACAAAATGGTTCATAAAGATGTAAAGAGAGGATAATCCTACATGTACAATTTGTCTTTATTTTACATTTCAAAAAAAGCTCTCTGAGAACTAAATTTATCATCTTGAAACTATTTTATGCAATATATGAATTTGTGGCCTTGACTTTTAAATTAAGGAATGAATTTAATAGCTACCCATTTTATATGACATAAACTGTTTTGGGGCAATTTATGCTTTATAAACCATGAAGTGGTTTATAAAAAGTGTAAACTGTTCCAACCCACTTTATACCGTATAAATTGGGTAGCTATTAAATTCACTCCTTATAATTCAATTTCCATTCATTTAAGAGTTAGAAAAGAAGACAATTGACTTCAAATTGTATAAAATTTAAATGTAATGTCAGGCGGATCGATATGTTTTTCACACAATTTATTATGACGTAGGCAACACGGTTTATACGATAAAAGTAATTTTTTACATTACAACCAGAATTAAATTATTCTCAAATTCAGGGGTCTTCTTGAAGTCATGTGGAATTTCAATATGAAATACTCTGTAAAGCTGAATTACTTTCAGACTTTTTCATCTGAAAACTAGGGTGTATATTGACCTTTTGACCTCAAAATCAATAAGCCTAGGGTCTCTCTTAAGTTAGAGGGGATCAATCATCACCTTAAGTTTCATTTCAAAGGTAAAAAAAACTAAAGTTGTCATCTGGAAACCATGCAGTTTATACAATTACATGAATTTGTAACCTTGAACTTGGACCTTTTGACCTCAAAATCAATAGCAGCATTCTTCAAATACTGTACAGCAGGAAATTAACTCGCGGAGTTAATATTCGCTATATTTGCGGAAATAAAAATTCCGCGAATTCAACATACAGTGAATAATTCTCCAAAAATTGATAAGGATAAATTGAAATATACCGATATCTGTGATTAGATTCGTTAACTCTATTTGTTTTTCCTTGCAAACATAAAAGCAGTAATTAATATAGCGGAGATGTAGACTGTCTTCCTAATTATGCGGGTGTACGGATCAATCTATTTACTAAGACGTACTGAGTTGGGTTTTTTTTTAAAACTTAATTGATAAATAAACATCTATAACTAACATTTAATTCTGCCACCCACTAGAGATGCGATGTAATTATCTGTAAAACATGTAGGCCTATTGTTAGATTTCACCCGTGCGTATCACTCAGTCCTATTATCTTTAATCAAGGCACTTACGTAGTAAAGACAACACTGTTACATATTAATTCAATTTTATTCAACATTTTGATTATCGGTACTGACAACTTATTTAGATTCAAGGAGATTTAAATATACTGCAGTAAATACTACTCTGTACTCTACTCAAAACATACCTAAGAACACCTGCCAAAGGGTCTTTTTTTGCATGAATGTATTGGATACGACTTGAAATCACTTGAATAAATAACTCGAGTATAGACTCATATGTATTTCAAAAATATTTAATTAAAAGAAAGAAAGAAAACACAAGAAAGAAAGAAAATTTATCTGAATGTGTAATATTGTAAATCGTACAACATTTTGTCTTCTAATTGGGATCAGTTTCGGTGTTTCGTTCTATTTAATCGGGTTCAGAATCGACACAATATGCAAGGAAAATACTTTCAGTGTGGAAAGTTTTTTTTGTATAATATTTTCCTTTCCGCGAATTCAAACGACCGCGATTTGCTGCAAGTTGAACAAATCGCGATCTTTTCCGACCGCGATTTTAACCTGCTGTACAGTAGTTGAAGGTTTTGATATGAAATTTCATTAAATAAAGTTGTTTCAGAGATATCACCCATTAACTAAAGTGTACCATTTCATAACATGTGCAGTGCTGCCAACATCATAAAATGAAAAATCGTAAGGATGGGGTAGAGGGACTGCCTAGGCCCCCAGTCGCTCGAGATTTTTCCATTTTGTTTACTTCAAAATGATTTAAAGTGCAAGTTACCACCAGAACAGACAATAACAATACAAGCAAGCATTGCAAGGACTGACTTTTTTTATCACACCATAAATCTGGAAATTTTACACCAATTTATTTTTTTGAATTTGTGTCAAAATGCTATATATATATATCCATTTTTTCGTTCTAAATTTTGCAAAGTCACAACATTGCTAAAAAAAAAAAAAGAAAACAACTAAAAAAATAGTAATCATCATTATTAATCTTATATATATATATATATATATAATATATATACACATGTATGCAATGCTTGATTTGCAGTTTGCCATTGGTTTACAGACCAACCAGTAATATTGCATCCCATAAATGGAGATATGAAGTAGATATACCTCTAGATCCCTCAACTGCCTCCGAAAATCATCAAAATCACTGTCAAAATCAGTTTTTCTCTGGTCCAGTACATCATAAGGTTTCTTCTTGATGCTCCCATATATCTGTCCAAATCTTGAAGCAAATGCCTCAATGCCCTCAATTTTGGAATCCGACAGAGTAGAAAAGGACTCTATATAATTCAGCAAGGCGATGATCTATCAATAAATAGCACATTAAACATAAATATATAGAAATTTAAATGAGCGTTGTTGTATCTGCAACCACTTCATGATATTTTAGTTACAAACTTGTAACATAAACCAGATTTTTTTGTTTCCATAGGAACTAGGAGCTGACATATTTCCTTATGTAATAAAACAACTTACTGTTCATATTTAACCAGATTTAATTATACAGAAGTCCCCCAACATAAAAGACAAAACTTGCAAAGAGGAAAAGTGGTGATGTCCAATACTAACTCCCTTTGATAAGCAAAAAAGGGAGGTAATTTCGTGGCTGCAGGAATCACCCCATTGATATTTCATGATTTACATATGGGTCAATGAAAAGGTGGGACTAACCTGAAAACTGGCCATGAATGTTTTTATGTCCTACAATGCATTATCTTTGCATCACCTAATCTGATGATTAAATGTATATCATGCAAGTGTTCTAAAATGGATTGCAGGACCAAAATAGTGCTCATCAAAAGTTTCTTTCAACTAAATAACCCTTGAAAAATTCATTATACCCCTATCTCATTAACATTTTTTTTTATTAATTCCCCCTAAAAAAAAGCATGGCCCTTCATTTGAACAATCATCTTTATCCATATGCATGATTGCTTTGTGGCAAATCAAGTTGAAATTGGCCATGTAGATCACAGCAGAAGTGTAATATGTTAAACGTTTACAGATGACCCACAACAAACATGCAGTCAGATGCAAACACTCTTTGATCAGAAAGATTACTTCATCTAAAAAAAAGTTGCGACAAATTTGCATTTAGAAAACATAGGTAATCAAAGATTACTAAGCTCACCTCGACGAATGTTATCTATAAGTAAGGTAAATCTCACATCATATTTTTTTCCTAGTTAGTGTACATTCCAAGATTAATATCCATCAATATTAGATTCAGAATCCAAAGTAAGTCTGGAACTGTCCATCTCTAGATACATCATCATTCATGCTAATTTGGTTAAAATATGGCTAAAATTCACTCATGTGGAAAATCTAGGTCAGATCCAGAATCCAAAGCAGGTTAGTTAGTGTACATCCCTAGATGCATCATCCATGCAAGTTTGGTCCAGGTAGGGCTTATATTTACTTGGGAATGGACCTGCTCCAAAAAAACTTTAACCTGATCAATCATCTGGAAAATCTAGGTCAGATCCAGCATCTGAAGCAAATATGGTAGTGTCTATCCCTAGATGTATCATCCATGCAAATTTGGTCCAGGTAGGGCTTTTAGTTACTTGGGAATGGACCTGTTCCAAAAACTTTAACCTGGTCACTCATCTGGAAAATCTAGGTCAGATCCAGCATCCCAAGCAAGTGTGGTAGCGTCCATCCCTAGATGCATTATCCACAAAAGTTTGGTCAAGGTAAGGCTTAAATAATCACTTGGGAATAGACCTGCTCCCAAACCTTTAATCTAGTCACTCATCTGGAAAATGTAGGTCAGATCCAGCATCTGAAGCAAGTATGGTAGAGTCCTTCCTTTGATGCATCATCCATGCAGGTTTGGTCCATGTAGGGCTTATAATTGGGTACCTGCTCCAAAAACTTTAACCTAGTCACTCATCTGGAAAATCTAGGTCAGATCCAGCATCTGAAGCAAGTGTGGTAGTGTCCATCCCCAGATGCATCATCCATGCAAGTTTGGTCAAGGTAGGGCTAATAGTTTCTTGGGAATGGACCTGCTCCAAAAACTTTAACCTAGTGACCCATCTGGAAAATCTAGGTCAGATCCAGCATCCAAAGCAAGTGTGGTAGTGTCCATCCCTATATGCATCCTCCATGCAAGTTTGATTCAGGTAGGGCTTATAATTACTTGGGAATGGACCTGCTCCAAAAACTTTAACCTGGTCACTCATCTGGAAAATCTAGGTCAGATCCAGCATCCGAAGCAAGTGTGGTAGTGTTCATCCCTAGATGCATCATCCATGCAAGATTGGTCAAGGTAGGGCTAATAGTTACTTGGGAATGGACCTGCTCCAAAAACTTTAACCTAGTGGCCCATCTGGAAAATCTAGGTCATATCCAGCATCCAAAGCAAGTGTGGTAGTGTCCATTCCTAAATGCATCCTCCATGCAAGTTTGATCCAGGTAGGGCTTATAGTTACTTGGGAATGGACCTGATCCAAAAACTTTAACCTGGTCACTCATCTGGAAAATCTAGGTCAGATCCAGCATCCGAAGCAAGTGTGGTAGTGTCCATCCCTAGATGCATCATCCATGCAAGTTTGGTCCAGGTAAGGCTTATAGTTACTTGGGAATGGACCTGCTCCAAAAACTTTAACCTGGTCACTCATCTGGAAAATCTAGGTCATATCCAGCATCCGAAGCAAGTGTGGTAGTGTCCATCCCTAGATGCATCATCCATGCAAGTTTGGTCCAGGTAGGGCTTATAGTTACTTGGGAATTGACCTGCTCCAAAAACTTAAACCTGGTCACTCATCTGGAAAATCTAGGTCAGATCCAGCATCCGAAGCAAGTGTTGTAGTGTCCATCCCTAGATGCATCAACCATGCAAGTTTGGTCCAGGTAGGGCTTATAATTCCTTGGGAATGGACCTGCTCCAAAAACTTTAACCTGGTCACTCATCTGGAAAATCTAGGTCAGATCCAGCATCCGAAGCAAGTGTGGTAGTGTCCATCCCTAGATGCATCATCCATGCAAGTTTGGTCCAGGTAAGGCTTATAGTTACTTGGGAATGGACCTGCTCCAAAAACTTTAACCTGGTCACTCATCTGGAAAATCTAGGTCAGATCCAGCATCCGAAGCAAGTGTGGTAGTGTCCATCCCTAGATGCATCATCCATACAAGTTTGGTCCAGGTAGGGCTTATAGTTACTTGGGAATTGACCTGCTCCAAAAACTTTAACCTGGTCACTCATCTGGAAAATCTAGGTCAGATCCAGCATCCGAAGCAAGTGTTGTAGTGTCCATCCCTAGATGCATCATCCATGCAAGTTTGGTCCAGGTAGGGCTTACAATTCCTTGGGAATGGACCTGCTCCAAAAACTTTAACCTGGTCAATCATCTGGAAAATCTAGGTCATATCCAGCATCCGAAGCAAGTGTGGTAGTGTCCATCCCTAGATGCATCATCCATGCAAGTTTGGTCAAGGTAGGGCTTATAGTTACTTGGGAATGGGACTTGCTCCTAAAACTTTAACCGGGACGCCGACGCTAACGCCGACGCCGACGCCGACGCCAACGCCGGGGGTTTAGCATAAGCTCATCTCGACTTCGTCGAGGTGAGCTAAAAAGGAAATTCATTTTCTTAAAATGAATAATCACCTTGTCAAGCCTTCTACAGAAGGTTTCAAATTTTCCAAAGATGTACATTTCAGAAAATTCAAAAGGCTTTTCTCCAGGTGTTGCATCTATTTTCTCCTTTGTCTTCTGAAAGATGGCCTGGTAATTTTTATACAATAACACACAGTGCTGAAGTTTTTCTAGTAGAGGTTGCCTTGACTGGTCCCAAATCCTTGTCATGCCATCTCCATTGATGTATGTCTTGCATGCAGTGACCATTTGATTTGTCACCTAAAGTTTTCAAATTTTATACTATGCTTGATATAGATTAACAGACAACTGTCAAGAATAACAGAAAACATAATATACCTTAATAAATAAAGATGTCATTCTTTCTGATGTGTTGTAATATCGCGATATACTGTGTATCATCCTGATTGCATTGATCAACCCAGGCAAGCAGTCTGTCATTGAAATCTGTGATGAAAACAAGAAATAGATCAAATTCTTGGTATGAAAGTGCATTTGTTTACTTTATTAGGTGATGACAAACATACAGTTCAGTAGGCAGTAGGATGTTAGTAGTTTATTACAATTCAACCACAAGTCTCTGATCAGACTGGTTCTACTGATTTGTATCTATAATAAGGAAAGCAACAAGAGGCCCAGGGGCCATATCGCTCACCTGAGCACTATGGCTAGGAAAAAGCAGAAATCACTTCAATCTTGAAAGGTTGAAAAGTTTAAATATAAAAGTGGTGGGGGGGGGGGGGGGGGTCAGGAATTGAACAAATTTGAATCTACATTATCTGAGGATGCTTCCATTTAAATATGACCAATCATGGCTTTGCTGTTCTTGAGTAGAAGATTTTTAAAGATTTAACCTATGTATTCCTATGTAAAACTTTGATCACCCATTGTGGCCCCACCCGACCCACAGGGGTCATGTTTGAACAAACTTGAATGTACACTATCTAAGAATGCTTCCATATAAATATGACCAATCATGGCTTTGCTATTCTTAACAAATAGTTTTTTTTAAAGATTTTTACTATGTGTTCCTATGTAAAACTTTGATGGCCCATTGTGGCCCCACCTGACCCCCGGGGGTCATGATTCGAACACATTTGTATGTACACTATCTGAGGATGCTACCATATAAATATGACCAATCATGGCTTTGCTATTCTTAACAAATTGTTTTTTTTTTAGAATTTTTACTATGTGTTCCTATGTAAAACTTTGATCGCCCATTGTGGCCCCACCCGACCCCCGGGGGTCATGAGTTGAAAAAATTTGAATGTACACTATCTGAGGATGCTACCATATAAATATGACCAATCATGGCTTTGCTGTTCTTGAGAAGAAGATTTTTACTATGTGTTCCTATGTAAAACTTTGATCGCCCATTGTGGCCCCACCCAACCCCCGGGGGTCATGAGTTGAAAAAATTTGAATCTACACTACCTGAGGATGCTATCATATAAATATGACCAATGATGGCTTTGTTGTTCTTGAGAAGAAGATTTTTAAAGATTTTTCCTATATATTCCTATGCAAAACTTTGATCGCCCATTGTGGCCCCACCCGACCCCCGGGGGTCATGATTTGAACAAATTTGAATCTACACTACCTGAGGATGCTTCCATGTAAATATGACCAATCATGGCTTTGCTGTTCTTGAGAAGAAGATTTTTAAAGATTTTTCCTATATATTCCTATGTAAAACTTTGATCGCCCATTGTGGCCCCACCCGACCCCCGGGGGTCATGATTTGAACAAACTTGAATCTACACTACCTGAGGATGCTTCCAAGTAAATATGACCAATCATGGCTTTGCTGTTCTTGAGAAGAAGATTTTTGAAGATTTTTCCTATATATTCCTATGTAAAACTTTGATCGCCCATTGTGGCCCCACCCGACCCCCGGGGGTCATGATTTGAACAAACTTGAATGTACACTATCTGAGGATGCTACCATATAAATATGACCAAGTATGGCTTTGCTGTTCTTGAGAAGAAGATTTTTAAAGATTTTTCCTGTATATTTCCTATGTAAAACTTTGATCGCCCATTGTGGCCCCACCCTACCCCCGGGGGTCATGATTTGAACAAACTTGAATCTACCCTACCTGAGGATGCTTCCACATAAGTTTCATGTTTTCAAGCACAGTGGTTCTTGAGAAGAAGATTTTTTAATGATGCCATTAATTTTTCACGAATTCTTAATTATCTCCCCTTGGAAGAGGGCGTGGCCCTTCATTTGAACAAACTTGAATCCCCTTTACCCAAGGATACTTTGTGGCAAGTTTGGTTGAAATTGGCCCAGTGGTTCTTGAGAAGAAGTCGAAAATGTGAAAAGTTTACAGACGGACAGACGGACAGACAGACGGACAGACGGACAGACAGACTACAGACAAAATGTGATCAGAAAAGCTCACTTGAGCCTTCGGCTCAGGTGAGCTAAAAAGGTGCATCTGGACTTAAAAGGTTTTCTGTTTAAGTTTACAGAAAACCTATGCCAAGATTTATAGAATTTTGATGATCGAGGCTTCACAGCATCTTAATCTGAAAATTAATTGCTGCAAAAAGTAAATCACTGTGAGTTTGTGACCTGCTTTTAGATAAAAATGTCCCAAGCCCCCATGATGCATCAAGTGACAAGGTTTGAGGATCCTAGGCCTCTTAGTGGGTAAAATATCAAGTTGTTAACAAAACATTTAAATCAATACCCAAGTTTCAAGATTATCTCCCTTGGTGCGCTCTTTCGTTATGGAGGGGAGTTTTGTTTCCGCGTAAGCAGGCAGGTGGGACAGTCATTTATATTGGATACATTACATCAATCGATATACCGGTCTATCATAACTGATCATCGGGATATATTTATTACCGAAATAAAGTAAAGGCGTCAATTTTTTCTGTGGAAAAAAAAACGGAACAAAAGAAAATAAAAATCGGAACAAAAGAAAATACCAGTGGATAAAACATCCAACGAGGGAACAGATCTATATGGATCTCTGATAAATACACACTCACCTGATCACAGTACGTCGGCATTCTGAATGACTCTTTTTCCTTATAATAACTTCTAAGAACCCAATAACTTTTTAGAAAATGTTTGTACAATCAAAGAATTACTTTTTTAATAAAGCCTGTTCTTTGGTTTTCAAGTATCCTAACTGAAAATAAATTTTGTAAATATATATAGAAGAGCTTTACAGAATTATCAAAATGATCACTCCTTAGCGTTATCATCATTTTATAACATCAAATGAATTTTAAAAGCCATAGCAATCGTTCTTTTATTTATGCAAGTTTGTAAATATTAACAATCTGTCCCACTTCCATGCTGATATAGATACTTTTTGTGCCTCTATCGTAGGAGAGTTACAATCTCGAAACTCGCATATTTTGAAGTGACCTTGAGACTATTCCCATTGTCCTAGCATGATGCTTGAACAATTTTCCATCTACAATATCATCCTTTGTATGTATATGTTTGGTGATAATCTAAAAAGTGGTTCTTGCATACATGTGATACTTTTTAGATCCAAATACAGTGATGCCACGTTTATCCGGACACCGGTAATCTGGACACTTTACCTTCCGCAAGATAATTTTTGGGAACCAATTTTTCCCATATTATTCTGTCTTAATAATCTGGAAAATCATGTTCCATATCCAGATGGTTGATTTCTACTACAAAATGTAATATATCATTGATAAATAACAAATGTTCATCCGGACTAACATTTTTCAATGAAAGACTATTTCGCACCTATCTTGCCAAAGTGATAATTGATGTAAAAACATTAGCCATGCATTCCATCCATTTGAAGGTGGTTATCTGTGTGCTCAAAACAACTGTGTCTATAATTAGGGTGTGTTTGTCTCAGGGGTGATTTGCCTTTAACTCGCACATGTATTATAAAGCTTCAAGATTTTAGTTTATACTGTGCATTAATTGAAAAAAAAAATGCGTTCAGAATCATTGCTAACGGTACATAAATTTAGAAGAATTTGGAGTTGGAAAAAAAATAACAATACATGTAACACCGTATAACTCAATTCAAGATCCATTTTGTAGTGATGTTGAGTTGCACAGGAACATCTTGGAGTTGCGTAAGATACTATTCATCACAATGATTTTCCAGTTGTTAAAATGTTAATATCTATGAAACATCTTTTTTATACAAGAATTTCAAAAGATATAATTTAAGATAATTTTTATATTTAATGATCTATGAACTATCCGTTCTTGAAAAAAGGATCTTTTTTAGTAACCATCTTTTTCTATAGTTTCCTAATTATCTCCCCTGATTTGATGGACACATCCCTATTTTTAGTATAATGAAAGCCCTTAGCCCATTGGTGCTCTATGACAAATTGGATAAAAATTGGCCAAGGGGTTCTTGAAATATGGCCCACATTCCAAAAACTTGATTCACACCACACACATGGTCAAATCATTTAATAGCTCTTTGAACCTTCCACTCAGTAGAGTTAATAACAAGACACAGGTTGCAAATGAATTTGGTGACCTAAACATTAACATTACTTACAGGATCACATCTGTACAATGGTTCACAGTACTTCTCCAATGTATACAGAAATTTTACATTGTCTTTTGCCTCATTTGCATTGTCTGTAATGCGCTTGTCAAGATCCTTCCACTTCTAAAATTGGAAAGTTTCATTAAAACAAATACTTTAGGTAGTTTGTATTAGATGTTTCTAAAAAGTGAGAGAAAATAAATGACCTTAATGTTAAATCAAGTTCTATGAACCCAAATCAACTTACCCTTAAAACTTTTGACCTTGCTACATTAAGGATGTTGATGACCATTCTGCATTCATGGCTTTTTATCTGTTCCAGCAAGGCATTAAACCTGGCCATCAACTGTCGCCAATGTTCAAGCTCTGCTAACGGACCTGTATCATCAGCTTCTTTTCGCATTTGATCACTCTCAGCTAAAATCTTTAGAAACATGATTTTTGAATTAGTTACATCTACATTAGGCCATTCCAAGTTTTTTCTATGTTTAGCGTCCGTGTGCGCCTTGGTTTTTGACACCCCATATCAGAAAAAAACAAACAAAATCAGGAGTCTTGAAAATGTTTATTCTGGTCGAATTCACTGAATTCTGTCAATTTCTCCAAGTATTTGTCTACAATATGTCATATTTGGAATATTGTAAGCATTTAATACCTTGATTTCGCTGAAGAATAGATATTTCTATGAGAAAAATAGATCAATGGAATCAAATCCTTTGAATGACATCAATTTTATGACTATGAAGTCTTGTGTTTTATTTTTTGGTTTGTGTGTTTTTTCCAAATAGGTAGGTAGGAATTTGAAAGATGGGTGGACGCTAAACATAGAAAAAACTTGGAATGGCCTTATATTGAAAAATGCTGCAAAAAGATGTAACAGGCATATAAATTTTGATGTGGGCGGCACAGTCGGCCCCTGGAATGTATGAAGGTTCAGTAGCCCACATGGCTAACTGCTCACTATAAAAAAATATGATTTAAAGTTTTAGTCCTATATTTAATATTAACCCTCAGAGTCCAGAACTTTTGAGGCTGCCTATAGGTCCCTTAAAGCTCTGGGGTAAATGATGCAAAATCCAGAATTCATAACACTTCCTGGCACTCATCTCGCTTTTAAATCAATTTTTTTTTAAATAAAAAAAAATTATTAACTGCTATCAATTCTGAATTTTTAATTCCAGTATATATCCAGATTAAACATATGAATTCACCAGATCAAAGCAGCATTATCAAAACAAGAGGCCCAAGGGCCTTGAATCACTCTTCTGATAAACTGTACAACCTATCACTTCTATTTGAAGCTTCTAAGTATCCTGTATACATGTATTTAGATAAAGCCTTGAGATTCCAAAGGTAGGTTATCATGACCTACATTTGAGATGAAACACTCTAAGAACCCAAGATGATTCTAAGCCAATTACCTGAGAGTAGGTCATGGTGACCTACTTATCACTTCTCTGAGGACGCAAGATGCATCAACTAAGTTTGATGATTCTAAGCCAATTAATACCTAAAATATTTTTAAAATTATAACCATAAAATTTCAAAAGTAGGTCACAGTGACCTACTTTTCAGATGACATACTTTGAGGACCCAAGATGCATCGACTGACAAAGTTTGATGATTCTAAGCCATTAAGTACCTGATATATTTAAATAAAGCAAAAAAATTTCAAAAGTAGGTCACAGTGACCTACATTTCAGTCAACTTAGATGCATCGACTGACAAAGTTTGATGATTCTAAACTACTTAGTACTCGAAATATTTCATTATTAAACAAGCATTCTGAAAGTATTGCATTAGCAATACTAGTCCCCTACCGGCAACTGTAATCTGGTTCCCGTTAAGAATTGAAAATGCCATAGTTCCGTCAAAAATCAATGAAGCTGGGCAAAATGCAAACTTGATCTATAACTAATCAAGGTAAAGTCACATACCAAATATCAGCTCAATATCTGAAAGCGTTTAGAAGAAAATTGCGGAAAACCCCTAAAAATTGAAAAGGTCATAATTCCATCAAAAATCAATGAAGCGGAACGAAATGCAAACTTGATCTGTAACTCATCAAGATACACTCACATACCAAAAATCAGCTCAATATCTGCAAGCGTTTAGGAAAAAAGTGCGGAAAACCAAGTGGGACAGACTGACAGACAGACAGAGGGACAGACAGACAGACGGACAGACAGACAGACGGACAGACAGACGGATGGACAGACTCAGAGGAAACCTATAGTCCCCTCCGGTTTCACCTGTAGGGGACTAAAAATAGGTCATGGTGACCTACTGTTCAGGAGACGTATTCCGAGAACCCAAGATGCTTCAACTGACAAAGTCTGATGATTCTTAGTCAAATAGTACCCAAAAATATTAAATACATCCATAAAATTTCAAAAGTACATCAGGATGATCTACTTCTCAGTTGTCATACTCTGAGGAACCAAGATTCATCAACTGACAAAGTTTGATGGTTCTAAGCCAATTAATACCTGAAATATTTAATTAAAGCCATAAATTTTCAAAAGTAGGTCACTGTAACCTACTTTTCAGTAGACGTACTCAGAAGACCCAAGATGCATCAACTTACAAAGTATGATGATTCTAAGCCAATTTGTACCTGAAATATTTAATTAAAGCCATAAATTTTTAAAAGTATGTCACGGTAACCTACTTTTCAGTAGACGTACTCAGAAGACCCAAGATGCATCAACTCACAAAGTATGATGATTCTAAGCCAATAAGTACCCGAAATATTTAATTATAGTCATATAAATTGAAAAGTACGTCACAGTGACCTACTTTTCAGTCGACCTACTCCAAGGACCAAAGATACATCAACTGACAATTTTGATGATAATAAGCAAAATAGGACCTGAAAAAAATATTAAATACAGCCATAAATTTCAAAAGTAGGTCAAGGTGACCTACTTTTCAGTTGTCGTACTCCAAGATGCATCAACTGACAAAGTTTGATGATTCTAAGCCAATTAATACCTGAAATATTTAATTAAAGCCATAAATTTTCAAAAGTAGGTCACGGTAACATACTTTTCAGTAGACATACTCAGAAGACCCAAGATGCATCAACTCACAAAGTATGATGATTCTAAGCCAATTAGTACCCGAAATATTTAATTATAGTCATATAAATTGAAAAGTAGGTCACTGTGACTTACTTTTCAGTCGACCTACTCCGAGGACCTAAGATACATCAACTGACAAATTTTGATGATTCTTAGCCAAATAGTATCCTTAATATTTAAATATAGCCATAAAATTTGAAAAGTAGGTCACGGAGACCTACTTTTCAGTTGACGTTTTTCGAGGACCCAAGATGCATCAACTTACAAAGTTTTATAATCATAGGCCTTAAAATGTTTAAATTAGGCCTCTAAAATGAGTTGAAATCGAATGCCTGCAAAGTTCAAAAAGTAGGTCACTGTGACCTACTTTTTAATAAAAATATTTTATGGCCCCAAGATGCATCATCTTACAAGATTTAATGATTCTAAACCTCTCAGTATTTGAATTACTGACCTTAGTTTTTTTGAAAAAGATTAGCCATAAAATTCAAAAAGTAGGTCAAGGTGACCTACTTTTTAGTTGACATACTCCGAGGACCCTAGATGCATCAACTGACAAAGTCTTATGATCATAGGCCTTAAATTGTTCAAAATATGCCTCTAAATCATTTTGAAAAAGAATGGCCGCAAAAGAGCTAAATCCACGAAGGGGCTAAATCAGCCCAGTCATCAAAATAAATGAAACTTTCTCACATAAAACTCTAAGATTTGTATGTTGTAAAACAATTTATTTTTTAACAATATCTTTACTGGTTTTCTTTTTAGATTCGTTTAAATTTGGTATTGTTTTCCTTATTAATACAATCACGTCATTACGTTGACGTTACATACTTTAACGTCGTGATGTTGACATTTTGTATAATTTGTACATATGGAATAAATATAACCAATATAGGCTCTTCTTTAAGATTTTGGGAAAATTTTACTATGTACTATGAATTTTTCAAGAAGTTCTGAAAACTTTTGGTTTATTTTTTAATTAAAGCTATTTGTACTCTAAAGAAATGCCAGATATTTGCTATATACAACGGTTTTCTGGTATAATCGTTGATACATGTAACACGTTTTAAATAATAATAAGAGACGCGTATAGCTGCGAAAACAACAAAAAAGTACTCTTTAATAACAAAAACATAAAATTAAAATGAAAAGTTGCATTAAAAATGAATACGTTTGAAGTTACCATCTATTTATTGTCATTTTGAGAATTTCATTGCACTGCCGTAATTGATGGCATTTCCCGGACATTTGAAATGAAATTGTAGTTCATACATGTAATACACGTACAATAGTGATGTTTGACGGTAATCCTGCGCACCACATATTGACAGGAAAGAAGCCACTACATACTTTCAAACAAGAGTGATGCAAAGCATCAAATCAGCCGCAAAAAAATTAAGAGTCCAACTAAAACACAAGATTTCCGAAGTATTTGAAATTCAAAAGGGAACCTGAAGTTAAAAAAAAAAAAGATAAACGGAAATGGCAGTATACCACTTTACTCAATGTAACTTACTTAATCGAAATAAAGTTCACTAATTATGATAAATATGTTATATAATCAAAGAGAAACGTTTTTATATACCCACAATAGGTATGAAGATTTCAGATGACAAAAACGATCGAATTAATTATTGCTAACTAATCGTTTTCTTATCATATTATCATATCTTACACACTCCCATTTTGGGAAGTACATGTACCTATTTTAAGCCCTTTTAATAAAACCATAAAGTAATGATTATCTGGTGAAAAGTGAAAATTAAATTGAAACATAACAACATCTAAGACTTTCATATAGTTCAAAACCAGTTTTAACATTTTACTCATAATTTTCAAATATTCAAAATAACATTTCGTTTCTCCATGTGCAATTTCTAACACAACTACAAATAGATAGGCGATAATGAGTATAGAAGGCAATAAAATAATCCATAATATCGTATACATATTGCATATATGAGATTTTTAACTTGGACGTTTTCGGATCGTTACTCTTTGTAATTAAACAAAAATATACGAAAAACAGCTACTGGCAGTAGTAAATGGCAATCATTACAGACCGTCTAAAAAAAAATTGTAGACCACATGTCGAGCGACATATTACCATACTCCACCCCCCCAAAAAAATATCATGTTCAAATGCCCGATCTATGAAGTTATATTCTATATAGACATCCTTTCAAAAAACAAATAGATAGACAGGCAAAATTAGCAGTTATATCCGTTAATAATAATAATAATACATTCAGGATACATGGCCGTAGAAAACGGGGGGTGGCCATGCCCCCCCCCAATAATTTTGCCGATATATAGTATACTATATAAAACAAAGCTACTATATGCTTGTGTCCTGTCAATAAAAACGTCTGATCCCCCCCCCCTCCCCCCCGTTTTTTTTTTTTTTTTTTGTTTTGCTTGTCAAGGAATTTTGGTAGTTGATAGTGCCCCAAACTGAAAATGTATGGCTGTGCCCCCCCCCCCCCTCCAAACTGGAATTGCTACCTACGGGCCTGGGATCTGTAATAAATATATGCAATGACCGAGTCACGAAAAATCAATCGTTTTTAAATCAAATTTTTATGAAGGAGATTGAAAAAAAATGAAAACTGTTATTGAATTTATCATTTTTTTAATACTATATATACAAGGACTAATATAATTGGCATTGTTATTTATTCACTTTACTACTTTCTTGTTTAAATGGCAGCAGTAATTGGTCGAACTGTCCCACGTATTTAATAAGTGAGAGTGGGAATCCCGAAACCATTCCTCCCAATAACCCCTGTCCCTTTTTTTTTTTTTTTTTTTTTTTGTAAATGTAATAGGTTTTTTTTTGCTTCTTATTTTATATCAATGCTCTAATCCCCCCTTTATGAATTTACACTACTACATTATAAACATGCTAGCTAATCTTGGTTGCCCTCTCTCCCTTGGGCCTGTTACATTTAAGCGGAGTAACTCAAAATAGAAGAGATAGCAAGTAGCCTCTCTTTGACATTTTTTTTCATGTGTTGGCTAGGTCACAGCATGCATCCGATACTGAAATTACTTAAAACCATAAAGAGTTGTCACTGCCTTGGTAGTAAGTTATTCATTTGTACAATATGTGGCATTTTTCTTATAGAGGCCTATCACAAAAATTACATGCGATCTGTAAAATCAATCTATTGTTTATTTGATCTGTCAACTCGAATTTTCTAGGTCCAATACTTCGTAACATAATTTATGTTAAGAAGTCTCGGATCAGTAAAGGTTTTCACTAATAAATATAAATTAATCTTTTGTCTTAAAATGCCACTGGCGATTTCTGCAACGCATGTTGGGTATGGGTTATAATTATAATACATGTATAGTTATAATAAACTCTATTGCGTAACATTCACCATTTGTATGATGTCGACGCAGACTTCACGACATACACAATTTCTGTTTTGTAAGGTGACAAAACAATCATTATAAATACGTCTTGGTAGTTGCATCCGATGTAAATTGTTTAATATTCTAGGCTATTCCGAAACGGCCACTCAGGAGAAAATAAAGATGTAGCCTACATGTATCTCGGGTGATCTCCCTTTGATTACATAGTGACCATGGTGACGAGGAGCCGGGAGTTGGAAAACAAATTCAAAGCATAAATAAATAGGCTGTCAGAGGAAAAGAGAACACATTATTATTATTTTTTAAACATTTCAGCATAATGATGAGTTATAGATCAACTTCTTGAAGGAAAAGTCTTGGGTCAGGACTGAGGCACGTAACGTTGGTAAACAAAATGTCGACGTTATTGCATCTACATGCAGTCATGCTTAGCGAGAATTTTTCGTACTTTTTTGCACCACAACACAAAATAACTTATAATAATTATAACATTCGCATTTCGAAACTTTTTAATATTTACAAAAACAATATAGAATTTTTTTCTCTTCTATTAATGTAGGGAAATCCCCGCTATTTTCACAGTGTGAGTCGGTGCTAAGGTATCTGAATCGAACGAAAAGTATTAATTTCAATGTGGCCACACCCCTCGAACAAAATAAAAATATATTTTTTTTATTCGTATTTTAACCCTCTTTTCAATGGTATAAATTTTATTTTGTTCGAAGGGTGTGGCCACAGCAAAAATTTGAACCAAAGACGAAAAAAATGCTTTATTTTGATAAAAACTAGCAAAGTGCGCGTGTTTAGAGGTTTTCTGTACAAATATGACGTCATCAAATAAACAAATTGGCATAAACTTTTTAAGTTTGATACCCAAGGATAATATTTCTATTGTTAATTTTCTTCTTCCCCTCAATTTAATTTTCCTGAAAAAATAGGCCGATTTAGCCCCTACGTGGATTTAGCTCTTTAAAAAGTAAGTCACCGTGACCTACTTTTGAGTCAACATGATGAGGTCCTTAGATGCATCAACTGACAAGATTTGATGATCCTAGGCCTTATAGTAAGCAAAATATCAACATTTTAATAAAATGTAATTTTTGGTCAACTTTGAAGTGACCTTAAGACCACGCCCTTTGCCCCAGGGTAATGCCTTGAACAAATTTTAATCTACAACATATTCACATCCTTTTGTGTAAGTTTGGTGATAATCTGCCCCGTGGTTCTTGAGAAGAAGATTTTTTAGCAACCAGTACTTTTGTTTCTATTTTCCTAATCATTTCCCCTTGTTTAAGAGTCACAACCCTAGTTTTAGTATAAATGGGAGCCCTTGGGCCAAGTATACCCTTTGACAAATTTGACAATAATTGGCCAAGGGGTTCTTGAGTTATGGCCCATATTCTAAAAAGTTTAAGCACACCGCACAAATGGCCATAGCATTAGCTCTTTGAACCTTTGGCTCAGAAGTCCTACAAAAAACTGGGTAATGTATATTGCTCTGTATATAACCCAGATGTTTGATAAACACATATACCCCAAGAGTGACCATTTCTAATGAAAGACAATGGAGTTTCAACAAATTACAAAATAAGCAACTGTGAAAGTGGATATGCCTACTGCATATGTTGTTGGGCTGTTTCCCTAATGCCTAGCAGAAACATGCAACATATGCCTTATATCAAATATATTAATGTATGAACCTATATACCATAAAAACAGATTTTGATGAACTACACCATGCCTTCTTGGAAATGACTGATTTTACGATTGATGCACGACATTTCAACATCGAAGAACAACAAAGACCATGCATCCATAGCTGTGAGACAAATAAGGAATTAAATCAGAATGCAAATTATTTACCATTTGTATTAACCACACATGGAGTCTCCAAACAATGTGCACACTATTTGTAGAATATCGATTCCAATGCATTTAAATTTTAAAATCATTTTATAATTTTTATCGTTAAAAAATGAGCAAGTTAAAATTTTGACAAAAAATATACATCTAGATATAATAGACATAATCTAAATCTTGGCCAAAAATAAAGTTTCCAAGTTTTGTAGTCCAAAAGTTTTCTGGAGGGTTCATGTCTATGACAGATATACTGAATGACAAAATGATGGATGATCAGATGGGACAAAAACAATATGCTCCCCTCCCCACCTTCAAGCTCAGCCTTGGTTCAAATGAGCAAGAAACATCCATGGTCTTTCATCTCAACAGCAAAAAATGCATTTTTACCAACACTTTTCTTTATACATGTTAAGGTAAACTCTCATGATCTGTCACCAACTGATATAAAAGTTCATAAAAGTCAAATTACCTGTTCAATCTGTCTGCACCATGTTGATGCGAGGTCTTCCATATCTGCCACAATATCTGGATTGGATGCTACAGGAATGCAATCTGACACAGTTTTGACTTCTTTTAGGTTAATCCTTCCACTTGTACTTTTTGCCAAGCGAACCCCTTCACCAGAATTAGTCTGTGCACCTTTTTAAGAGAAAATATTTTTGAAGAATTAAAACACTTGTTTAAAAAAAATTACTTGTAATTTTGGATCAAAAAGAAATATCCTTACTTCTCAAGTACATAAGAAAATTGTCAAAACTGTCTATAAAGTTTTTCTTTGTTTTTCTTCCTTGAGGAGAATCTTCTAATTCTCCCCATTTTTCATATGCTTTTAGAGCTGGTGAATACACACTAGACATCATGGACTCAAATGCTGTCAAAATTCCTGTGTTTTGATTTACTTCCAGATATCCAAAGAATATCTCCTATAAAAAAAATCACAAGAATTAGATTTGATTACCATTAACAGGACTCAAAGTTGCAATTTAAAAGGGTTCTCATTACTATAAGAATCTGCAAAATAGATGCAGCAAAAATATTTGGGATGCAATGTTGTGAAAAAGAGGTCCAAGGGCCTAAATGGTCATCTGAGTATAACACAACACTGTAAAAGGTCCATAGAAGTATAAAACAAGAGGCCCAAGGGCCTAGAATCGATCTTCTGAAAACTGTACAACCTATAATCCCTTCTGTTTTAAGCCTCTTGGTAACATATATATAAGGATAAAGCCTTGAAATTACAAAAGTACATCATCATGGCAACAACTGGCAAAGTTTGATAATTCCAAGCAAATTAGTATAGATCTGAAATATTTGAATTTAACCATGAGGTTGCAAAAGTAGGTCACAGTGACCCCCTTTTTGGTTGATGCACTCAGAGGACTCAAAGATGCATCAACTGACAAAATTTGATGATTCAGAGCCAATTAGTATCTAAAATAGCCATCAATTTCCAAAATAGATCACGGTGACCTACTTTTTGGTTAACACACTTGGAGAACCCAAAATGCATCAACTGACAAAGTTTGATGATCCTAAGCCAATTACTATCTAAAAATAGTCATCAAATTCTGAAAGTAGGTCATGGTGACCTACTTTTTGGTTGACACACTCTGGGAACTCAAGATGCATCAACTGACTAAGTTTGATAATTCCAAGCCAATTAGTAACTAAAAATATTCAAATTAAGCCATGAAATTGCAAAAGTAGGTCACAGTGACCTACTTTTTGGTCGATTCACTCCAAGGACTCAAAATGCATCCACTGACAAAGTTTGATGATTCTAAGCCTATCAGTATCTGAAATATTTAAATTAAAGCATGAAATTGCAAAAGTAGGTCAAGGTGACCTACTTTTTGGTTGAGGACTCAAGATGCATCAACTGAAAAGTTTGATGATCCTATGCTTCAAAGTGTCCAAAATATGCCTCTAAAACAATTTGAAAATGAATACCTGTAAAATTCCAAAAGTAGGTTACTTGTGACCTACTTTTTGAAAAATCTGTTTTTAGGCCCCCAGGTGCACCAACTTACAAGGTTTGACGATTCTAAACCTCTTAGTATCTGAAATAATGACCTTAAATATTAAGAAAATGATTAGCCATAAAATTCAGAAAGTAGGTCATGGTGACCTACTTTTTGATTGACACACTTCAAGGTCCCATGATGCATAAACTGACAAGTTTTGATGATCATAGACTTCAGAGTATCCAAGTTATGCATCAAAATTAAACTGAAAATAAATACCTGCAAAATTGAACAAGATGTGTTTGTGAAACTCTGATGCCCCATGTGGCAGCTTATGGCGAAGGTCAAAGTTTCTCAAATGCAAGTCAAAATCCAGGCCAAAAGATAAAAAATGTTGGTACCCAAAGAAAGGTCTTGTCTCGAGGAATATACCTGTGAAATTTGAAAGCTCTAGATGCAACTGTTCAAAAGTTATGGTGAAGGTTAATTTTTTTTTAAAGTAAGTAAAACGTCAAGGTCAAGGTCAAAGTTGTTGGTATCCAAAGGAAGGTCTTATCACAAGGATTACATATGTGAAGTATGAAAGCTTTAGCTCCAACCATTCAAAAGTTATGGCCAAGGTTAAAGTTTTTCAAAAGTAAGTCAAACTCCTAGGTCACGGTCAAAGGGTCAAAGAGATTGATATCCAGAGGAATATCTTGGCACAAGGACTACACATGTGAAGTTTGAGACCCCAAGCACTAACTTTTAAAAGTTATGGCCAAGATTAAAGTTTTTCAAAAGTAAGTCAAACTCCAAGGTCAAGGTCAAAAGGTCAAAGTTGTTGGTAACCAAAGGAAGGCCTTGTCACAGAGAATACACATGTGAAGTTTGAAACTCCAAGCTCTAACTGTTCAGAAGTTATGGCCAAGTTTAAAGTCTCATAAAATTTTGCAGAAGTGGGTCAAACTCAAGGTCAAGGTCAAAAGGTCAAATATGATGGTACCCAAAGAAAGGTCTTGTCACAAGGAATACACATGTGTAATATCCAATCAATCAAAAGTTATGGGCAAGGTTAAAGTTGACAACAGACAGACAGACAAACAGACAGACAGGACAAAAACAATATACTCCCGGGATCTTTCGATCCGGAGGCATAAAAAGTGGGTCACTGTGACCTACTTTCGGATGCATCAACTGACAAGATTTGATGATCCTAGGTCTTATAAGCGAAATATCAAAGATTTAACAAAATGTAAATTTTGGTCAACTTTGAAGTGACCTTGAGACAAGGCCCTTTACCAAAGGGTGATTGCCTTGAACAATTTTTAATTAAGGGACACATCCCTAGTATAATATAAATGAACACCTTTTGGCCAAGAAATGAAGGATACTTTGCAACAAATTGGAAAAAAAATTGAGTAAGGGGTTCTTGAGATATAGCCCATTTTCCAAAAATTGACGCACACCGCACAAATGGCCAAAGCATTAGCTCTTTGAGCCTTTGGCTCAGAAAAGCTAATAAAATAAAAACTGATGGATAAATTGCTCAAAAAGCAATAAAAACAGTGATTAAGGACCAACAAAATAGTCTAGTACTCAATAACATCTTACATTGAGCAGATCTATTCACTTGCCTGATCTTGCCAGTGCTAATACACTCCCAATTATCACAATCACCATACAGACTTTAAATAAAACAATATTGCTTGAGCTCATTACTAGGGCTGGGACAATACAACTTTTTCTATATTGATATGTATCATGATATTTGAGCCTTGATACGATATGTATCACGATATGTTGAATTGTTTATAAAATGTCTTTTTTTTTTTGTATTGACAAGAAACAATTAAACATTTCTTCACAAATAAGAATAATTTTTCAAAGAAGTTGTATACCTGTTGTAAAAGAAAATAATTTTACACAAGTGATGTTAATTATTATGTATTTCATATTAATATTTAGCATATTTATATTATATATTTAACCCAAAATGTTAAGTAAACAAAGAAAAACATAAGTCAGAATTTTTTTTGCAATATTTCGATATTTCTTCATATGTATCGATATGCGTATCATCCTCACATTGAATCGATATTATCAATATTTCCATACATCATCCCAGCCCTACTCATTACATTAGCCTCTTGTAGTCTTTGAAGAACATTTAATGTACAAAGGTAAGGTATTTTTGTCTCATTTTTAATCTATTATTTACAAGTCTGCCTGACCATTGAAAACTATGAAAGTATTTTTTGTATTATACATTAATAATTCTTGTACAATTCTTTTATTCAATTCACCTATAAATTCCATGGTAGAACAAACTTCCATTATTTACAGTGATAAATTATCATAGATGAATAGCAAAGGGGGATAACTTTTCTCAAAAGAGTATGATCAATAGAGCCCCACTTCAACATCAGAACCCCTGGCCCAGGAACCATGAATCCACACAGTAGAGAGGTTTAGCAAACCAACGTGTACGCTTATGTGTAACAGGGGGTTCCCCCTGGAAATATATGTTTATTATGTCATTAGTTTTGCTACTGACGAATTTCTACAGGTACCAACTTACGTGTAGATTGTCGAGTACATGTAAGTCAAAACTTGTAGCTTATATTTCTTTAACTGCTGTTTATTTTTTAAAGAGTGCGAGTTTTTCTAAAACCTGAAGATTTAATGCAAATACTAATATAAAGAACTAATTGTTTATAATTGAAAAATATAATTTTACAAAGGGTTAAATACACAAGATCTAAACTTTCAAAACAGGCTTTGACGGATTAAAATTATAAGAGCTCTTTTCAATATTTTTCTTATAAATATATACATATTGATATATTCGTTTAAAACAGTGATATACATATAAAATTAAATATGTTTTCTATTTTTATAAAATGTTAATCACTTTTACATCTAAAACACTTACAAGTACACATACAGGTTATACTTTGCTAAACAAGAAAAAATAATGTAAACGTGTACGTGTAATTCTAACTTGTACACGCACAAGTGCGCTTGCTAAACCTCTCTAATATGGGGATGTTTCAACATCAATGTGATTAGCATGGTCTTGCTCTTCTGCAGCAAAAAACTTTTGAAGATATTTTTCCTGCATCACTGATTTTTGTCCCACCCTAGCCCCAGGGTTGATAATCTGCCCAAAAAAACTTGAATCCACGCCAGGAAATGTTTTCTTATTAATGTGAATTTCAGGTAATCCCTTTCTTTAAAAAACATCTTTTTAATTTCCAATATATTTCCATGCAGAACTCTGATACCCTAATGCACCCCATCCAGCACCTTGGGGACCATAATTCGCACAAACTTGAATATGCACTACCTGGGGGTCCTTGAATAACAATATAACTAATCATGGCCCCTCTGTTCTTAAGAAGAAGATTTTTGAAATTTTTTTCAATATATTACCATATAAAACTTTGATTCCTTATTGTGGCACTACCCTATTCCTTGGGGCCATGGTAGAACAAACTTCTAATCATAGTCATGACCCCCCTCTTCTTGGGAAAAAAAATTTTATAAGATTTTTTCCTATTTATTTCTTTGTAAAATTTGATACCATATTGTGGTCCACTCCTATTTCCAGGGGCCATTATTAATTCATTTTCAAGGTTGTTTTAGATCAATGCAACCTTTTTGGTCCTTCCGTTCTCGTCAGGAAGATTTTTAAAGACTTTTTCTTGGGAACTGTTATAGTGCTTCTGTCCTACCCAGGGGACAATGATTTAACAAATCTGAATCTAAACTATAAAAGGAAGTTATCATAAATGACTCCATCCTAATTTCAATATTTCTTAATAACTTCCTCTGAAAAGAGGTATGGTTCTTCATTTAAATAAATCTGAATCCCCTTTACCCTAGGATGCTTGTGCCATGTTTGGTTGAAATATTGGCAGAGTGATTCTGCAGGTTAAGTTGAAATGTGAAAGGGTGAAAATAGACAGATTTCTTCAGAGAAGCTCACTTAATTTTTGCCTCAAGTGAGTTAAAAACTTACGGTGTCAATATTTTTGCTAGTAATGTTGACATCAGTTTTTGTTCTGAGGAAGTACACACAGGAGCCCCGTAATTTATCACCAGTCCCACTGGTCACCAGCACTCTCATCATTACATTGCCTTTAGACATCCCAGGAATTGTCCTTCCACAATCTACCATATAAAATCAATTCAACTAAAATACTAGCAACTGATTTAAGTAATCCTACATTATTCTCATGCTTTTAATGAATTTTCAATTTGAGTGGGTGAAACAAAATTCATACACATCTTCATAAACAATTCTCAGTTACCCCGAACAGTGAATAAAATTCACTGAATTTTAAATGGAGTACAGTAAATCAAAACAAAGTGCCAGAGATGAACAATTTTGATTCATTATAACTGTAATTCATTATATCCCATAAGTTCACATGTGTTCAAACTACAGGGAATGAAAATCACTTAGCATATTGCAATCTTTGCACACAAATTACAATGGAGATGGAAAACCAGAAGTCCTTATTAAAAGTGTAGCTCAGTTTCATTCAGAAATTTTCTACAACTATCTTAATTTTATACTTGCAAGTTTTTATAGGGGGGGGGGGGGGGATTCCCTACCTACCTACCCATTTTTTGAGTCAGGAGAGGGAAAAGTAAACATTATTTTTAAGATGGTCTTAGCTGTCTTTTACTCTGAAAATACTGATTGATTGTAACTAACAAAAATTGAAGATGCCTTGCAAAACTGTGAAAATTGCAAGCCATGGTGACTGACTGAATTTTTTTTTTAAGTTTTGCAAACTCTGGACAAGACCAGGTCTAGGCTGTTGCATTTTCTTCCTTTCATTTACTATGGTGTCATAACCATGCTCTGGATGTAACAGTTGAAAATTCTGCTAGAGATGAACCTACTAGTACTAGGTTGTTTTCATGAGGGATAAAGACATTTCACAAGAATGTGGGATAAACATTCACTCAGCTGCTATAGCACCTGTCAAAGAGCTCAGGGGAAAAAAGTTCAAATCCTGATGTGTACAATCACATTTTCTCCTATTTAGAGTCTGAATTGAAATGGGTATATATTATTAAGGAAGAAATTAAAGTATATTACTCACCATCAATGCTAGGAACTACTGACTCCTGATAGTAAAATTTTAAACTTCTGGCGCCATCTTTATCTAGAAAGCTGCTGAACAGCTGCATATGCTAAAAAATTTGTTTTAATATTTCACAACAGATCAACTATATTGATAAGACACGAGACTTTTGTAAAACAAATCAGGGCTTAATAGCCGTCGCGTGCAGGTCCAGTAAACATGGAAAAATGACCCTGTCTCAATTGAAAATCACCTTTTTCTTTTAATATCAAAATGTGTACATTACACATAAAAATTCCCAAAAGACAAGAAAATTTTATTTTTTATTTTTTTAAATTTTCTCTTGAAAATCATGATTTTTTAAAAAATTTTAATCACATTATACTGGTTTACAGAGATCCGAATAGATGATAAAGGATAATCACACACACACACACACACACACACACACACACACACACACATATATATATATATATATATATATATATATATATATATATAAAATACATGATTTCATAGTTTGATACATTTCTCAATAAAAAGTATAGAGAGTTCCAGGGCAATTATTACATTTAGAGAGATTCCATATATAAATTAAAAAAAAATGTATTGACACTACTAAAATATGTAATAAAAAGGTTATTGACTGAATATTTGGAAATATGCCTGCCCTTGGTCTTTGCGTGGAAGTGGACATCACAAGCTCAGTCCACTGCACAAACACCTCCGGTGGTCATATTTCCCAATATTCAGTCAATAACCTAGAAGCAACATCAGATACCTAACATTTATCATCTTGTCTTACCTAGTATAATTAAGTTCAAGCTTTAAATTTCTATCTGGTGCTTCATATATTTACCATAAAACACTTCTAATTACAAGAAATGTTTAAGGAACATAAATGCCCCCATGTGGCAATAATAACAAGAGGCCCATGGGCCACATCACTCACCTGAGCACATTGGATAGGTGAAAGCACAAATCAGTTCAGCATTGAAAAGATTACTGGGGAGGGGGGGAGGCTTGAATTTTAAACTACCTGATGATGCTTCCATGTCAATATAACAAATGGCTTTGTTGTACTTGAGAAGATTAAAGAAAAATTTTCCCATATATTCCTTTGTAGAAATCTGATCCCCCATTGTGGCTCCTCCCTATCCCAGGGGTCATCATTTGAACATACTTGAATCTAAACTACCTGAGGATGCTTCCATATCAATATGACTAAACATAGCCTTTCTGTTCTTGAGAAGAAATATTTTTTCTGTATGTTCTTATGTAAAACTTTGATCCCCCATTGGGCCCCACCCTACCCCCGGGGGTCATCATTTGAACAAAACTGAATTTACACTTCCTAAGGTTGCTTCCATATCAAAATGACAAATCATGGCTTTGCAGTTCTTTTTCAGAAGATATTTTCCTGTATACTTCTATTTAAGACTTTGATCCTCCATTGTGGCCTCCCCTACCCCAGGGGGTCATGATTTGAACAAACTTGAATCTACACTACCTGAGGATGCTTCCAAATAAACATGACTCATCATGGCTTTGCTGTTCCTGAGAAGAAGATTTTAAAAATTTTTCCTCTATATTTCTATGTAAAACTTTGATCCTCCATTGTGGCCCCCCTACCCCCCCCCCCCCCCCCCGGGTCATGATTTGAATGAGTTTGAATCTACTCTCCCTGAGGATGCTTCCACATAAATATGACCAATCAGAGCTTTGCTGTTCCTGAGAAGAGGATTTTTAAAGAATTTTCTTATATATTTCTAAGTAAAACTTTGATCCTCCATTGTGCCCCCCCTACCCCCGGGGGGTCATGATTTGAACAAACTTGAATCTACACTACCTGAGGATGCTTCCATATAAACATGACTCATCATGGCTTTGCTGTTCTTGAGAAGAAGATTTTTAAAGATTTTTCCTATATATTTCTATGTAAAACTTTGATCCTCCATTGTGGCCCCGCCCTACCCCCGGGGGTCATGATTTGAAACTTGAATCTACACTACCTGAGGATGCTTCCATATAAACATGACTCATCATGGCTTTGCTGTTCTTGAGAAGATTTTTAAAGGTTTTTCCTATATATTTTGATGTAAAACTTTGATCCTCCATTGTGGCCCCACCCTACCCCCGGGGGTCATCATTTGAACAAACTTGAATCTACACTACCTGAGGATTCTTCCATATAAATATGACTCATCATGGCTTTGCTGTTCTTGAGAAGAAGATTTTTAAAGATTTTTCTTATATATTTCTATGTAAAACTTTGATCCTCCATTGTGGCCCCACCCTTCCCCCGGGGGTCATGATTTGAATGAGTTTGAATCTACACTACCTGAGGATGCTTCCATATAAATATGACTCATCATGGCTTTGCTGTTCTTGAGAAGAAGATTTTTAAAGGTTTTTCCTATATATTTCTATGTAAAACTTTGATCCCCCATTGTGGCCCCAGCCTACCCCCCGGGGTCATGATTTGAACAAACTTGAATCTACACTACCTGAGGATGCTTCCATATAAATATGACTCATCATGGCTTTGCTGTTCTTGAGAAGAAGATTTTTGAAGGTTTTTCCTATATATTTCTATGTAAAACTTTGATCCCCCATTGTGGCCCCGCCCTACCCCCGGGGGTCATGATTTGAACAAACTTAAATCTACACTACCTGAGGATGCTTCCATATGAGTTTCATCTTTCCTGGCCCTGTGGTTCTTGAGAAGAAGATTTTTAAATTATACTATTAATTTTTCACTAATTCTTTATTATCTCCCCTTGAAAGAGGGTGTGGCCCTTCATTTGAACAAACTTGAATCCCCTTCACCCAAGGATACTTTGTGGCAAGTTTGGTTGAAATTGGCCCAGTGGTTCTTGAGAAGAAGTCAAAAATGTTAAAAGTTTACAGACAGACAGACGGACGGACAGACGGACAGACAGACGGACAGACAGACGGACGCCGGACAAAAAGTGATCAGAAAAGCTCACTTGAGCCTTCGGCTCAGGTGAGCTAAAAAGGGAACAACATTGAATTTAGAATATTTTTAACAATAGTGAAAACAATTGTTCATCTACTACTCAGGGGCAAACATAATGCTAAGTTTGATGTCTCTCAAGCAAAGATTTCTCAAGACATATCTTCTTATGTTCAGTTTGACCCTTGACCTTCAATCTTGTGATCTCAAAATCAATAGGGGTCATCTACTCTTTAAGAGAAACCAATGTACCAAGTTTTATATCGGTTCACGATATTGAATGGATAAGATCTTCCTATGTATAGAATAGTTTGACCTTTGACACTGTGATTTCAAAATAAAAAGAGGTCGTCTATTTTCCAGGTGGAACAAGTTTACCAAAGAACTATATACGGTAAGGGCATATTCCTGCCCCAATAATAGTCAAATTTTGAAAATCTCTTGAAATGAGAAAAAGTGCATATATTGTATAAAATAATCCAAATTTAGACAATATATTATGAAATTGGAAAAATTAGTTGGCTTTTCTTGTCTCTGTGACGTCACAAACTATTTGGATTTCCGTTATTTTTAAAATAGAGGCCAAAATGCACAGAGTTTGTTCAATTTTGACTATAGTATTTATAGAGCGCAAGCCTGCTCAGGTACCATATTCACATATTTCATTGATATTATCATTCTACACATTATATCAAAAGATCTAGTCTGAGCAGACCTGCGCTCGGTTATTTCCAATCAAAATACCGACGTAAAATACGCTATTTTCTCTCAAAATCATTGCAATTTGGAATTTACGTCATTTTATTGACGTCATATCTAACTAATGATGTCATAGTTGATAAAAATACTTAATGCTTTGAAGTCTGCAAATATCCACCTGGTTTAGAACATAATTAAAGACTTCTCCATCAGAGTTTTATTTTGGGGGCAGATACTGGCCACTACAGAATATAGTCCTTTGACGTCTGTTCCCAAGATAATGAGTGGAAAACGCTTGGTCTACTGACTCACCAACCAATCTATCAACAGGTGCAAAGCAATATTCCCCCTTTTTCCAGGGGGGCATAATGAAGCGTTCTTGATACACTGAATCACTTCTTTACAAAGATGGCCTCTGCATAATTAACTGGTCAGTGCTTATCCTGATATATAGTCTCAGTGTATCAAGGTATATCATGACGAGCATCAGTAGTATCATTACACCTCTAGGTGTGACATGTGTGTGTATGACTTACTCTTTCAGAATCCAAAACAAATTCTTCTACTGCTCCCTGATCCAAACCAATGTGATTAGCAACTATCTTGATGATGTGCTTATGTGCAGCTGTCAGGCACATTCTTCTTACTTCTCTTTGGTCTTTGGCTCTTTGCTAAAGTAATAATTACAGAGTGTTACACTTACAGAGTATATAAACTTCACATTTCATTTTATATACTTACCTGGCCCCAAGACCATAAACTGAGAACAGACTTAAGTCAAAATTTCAAACCAATATAACTTTTGAAATAATTTTGATAATGAAACAAAATTTTCATCATATATTTGAATTTAAATGTTATATAAAATTGCAAATTTTTAAGCAAATACATTAAATAAAACTCAAGATATTAAAAATCAAAATTTTGACTTAAGTCTATTCTCAGTTTATGGTCTCCAGTACAGTATATACTTACAGCTTAACAGTTGAGTTACAAATCTGATGAGCAAATACAGTAATTTCAGTGATTTACCAAGGACGAGTACAATCCATGTTTGCAGAGTTCTCAAGATTAATATCCCAATCATATCATACAGATACTTCCAAGCAAAATTGGTCATAATTTTTATTTTTTAAACTAGTATGTTAACTTTAATTTTTTGTAAGGGACTCAGGGATTTTTTTACCCCTTGATTCCAAGGGCCAGGGTCGTCAAGATTGGGAAAAATAGCGATATTTGGTTGAAATTGGGAAAAATATCTGCATACAAATAAATAGGAAAAAACAAGCAAAAGTCAAATATTTAATCATTTTTATTTTTTATAGTATGAAGCTGGCTTAAACCAGCTTTAGTGATATGAAATAATAGTGGCTGTTGAAGTTCAGAAGCTTAAAAATGGCAAAGCCGCAGGGTATGATAACATTGTAATTGAACATATTGATACGTTGTCATCTTTTTTACCTTTATGTAAGAAGTTCTTTAAAATAACATTTGATAGTGGGTTTGTTCCAGATGAGTGGTTAATCGGTATTGTTTGACCAATTTATAAGAATAAGAGCAATTCAACCAAACCTGAAAATTACCGTCCTAGGCAAACTGGAGAGACTGACATGATGCACGTTTATTTTTTAGATAACGAACCCGACTTTAATTTTTAAACATCGATCCCGCTTTAAAAAGTATGCATGCAAACATCCATAGTATTCCGAATAACTTCTCGGAAGTCCTCGGATGGCTCGTACATCGCACATAGAGAACATAAACACCTTTTTGTCATTATTTTATTTTAATAATTTACAACTTAATACTTTTTTTCATATTGGGAATTTTTAGGTAAGATTTTGGGAAAAACATGCACTTTTCAGCATTGGGAATTGGGCCGTATTTCGGCCCTGGAGAGACCCTAAAAAAATCCCTGGGACTATATGTAAATTTCATCTAGCCTGTAAGCAAATGTATAATTTCTTGCAATAGCAACCATTTTGTACATAAAATTTACTAAGGGTTTATTTTTCCGCTATTGCCTCTCAGAGTATATACCCCCGAATGCAATATACTGAAATTTAAGAAAATGTACCTGTCCACAAATTTGTCTACATGTATAAGCATTCAACTTTAATACACAAAATAGAATAGAAACCTGTTAATGAACCAAAATAAAATCATTGTTTTAATTGTGTAAATTATTGTAAATATTGCATTTTGTTTGGCTAACCTATCAAAATTTAGTACGAGAAAAAATGTTTCACAGGTCAATCTTGGTCATTGGTGTACGGTTATTTCAAACACTGTTTAAAAATACTACATTAACAAGAAATATATTGTTTAACTAATAAAAACATCTATTTATTAGCATTTATGAAACGGGGAAAAACTAAATTTTCTTTTTTTCAACTTTGAAAAATAGAAAATTGAGTACCAGCAGGGTTTTTTAGGTCTTAAATTCAAGGGCCTGGGCCTTTCCAACTGGGCAAAAATATCGACATTTGCTTGATACAAATTGGGAAAAATGTTTCATATAAAGAAGCATTGAAATAGACCAAACCAGTGCATAAAACAGGTATAAATTGGACTCCTTTTGGCTTTAAATTTGATAAAAATAGGTTTACTTAACAATTTGGAGGCAAAAATTGTAATCTGTAGGCCTGTGAAGGAGATTTATAAACAATAAGGCTACCCTGCTTTGACATTTTTTTCATTGATAAATGTTTGGTAATTTTTAAGCAAAAATTGGGAAAAATACCTGCTTTTCAGCATTGGAAATGGGGCCTTCTTTTGGCCCCTACAGACCCTAAAAAAACCTGGCTATTATTTCCCTTTTCAATATATCAATAAAATACTTCAATGTGGCTGTTTTTGACTTGATGCAGCGGTGCCTGAGAAACTATTGTTCAATCTTTTTGCCTTATAAGCAGCTTTATACTTTCAATGCACTGTTTATCATAAACAAGAGTTATGTAGTTGTGCTTAAAATATTAAGGTATTTAATGCAATAAAACATTTATTTTAATGCAGTATTATTCACTCTTGCCATTAGAATGAGAGGCCATTTGCTGATCAGATATCCTGACACTTCCCCTATCCAGACAAATTTGACAGGGAACAAAAGCATCCAAATAAAGGAGGGTCCACTGTACAGAAGGTGACTTCTTTCCCTTATTCTAACTCATCCATTTCTAACTGATCCAACAAATTCATGATTTCAGTGTTTTGTTATTCTACCTGTCTTTCTTTGATAGATTCTGTTGTCATCAAAACATTGCCAACTGTGCTCCTTCTTCTGCCTCCCCCTGGTTTAGGTGTAGGTTGGACAGCATGGACAACACTATCTCTTCTTTCATACAAAAAGTCATGTGTACTCGAGGAATGTGGATCAGATCCTCCTCCTCCTGTACCTTTTGAAAATGACATTTTTCAATGCTACCTGTAATGAACAAAATAAATTCAAAATATCTTTTATTAAATTTTGAATATACATGCAATCAAAACATTATTGTCTTGTAATATTCTTATATTAAATCTAATAAATATACAGGGTTTAGTAAACCAACGTGTATGTATACATATACATTAGGGTTGTCCCTAAGACCTGGGGGCTGGGGAATTTCCCCGCCTGTAATGGCACTATCCCCCGTTACTCTGGCATTCCCAGGGATCGACATTAACGGTTGTCCGATTGCCCGGGACAAGTAAATTCTCAGTTTGGGCAAGTGAAATTGTCGACGTACTTGTTCGATCGGGCAAGTGAATTTTTTTCATACAAATGCACATATTTATTTAGTTTACATTAATTTATAAATAAAACAATAAATTGAACACTTGATTTCCGCCACGCACCTGATTGACAATGTTTTGCATTCAGAATTCCTTGGTAGCATTTCTGGAATATACCATTCATTTAAAAATCGACGGGGTTCGTTATTTTCCTTCGTAGTAAATATGCTCTATGTCTAACAAAATTTTGTTAACTTCTTATTAGGAAATTAGATTATTTATTCACACACAGAATATAAGTACAGTGTAAATCAATGTATCCTGATCAAGATAAAGATGTATGTTTCGTAGCAAATAGCTTCCTTTAGCATGTGTTTAGCATTGCTTCACATTTATCTCTGAAATCACGATTCACAAAAGGAGCTTACCAAAATAATTTGTTTAAAAATATGAATTTATTACAAGGAAATTAAAAGGAAAGGGTTATTGCTGCATGGCAGTGTGTGCTAAAAGGTTAAATTTACAAGTAAAGTGGTATACATTTATGTACAAATGCAGAATCAAATTTTTTTCACTGACATGTAGCTGGTATTTGATCACATTTTTTCTTTTCATAATGTTTACAAATTAATTTTTTCTTCTTAAGTTCTTTCCTAATTTTGGGCAACCAAGTTTTGCATTCGGACAAGTAAAATCTGAAAGTTAATGTCCATCCCTGATTCCCCTCAACCCGTTAGGGAAGGAACCAAAGACCCCCTTCTACTTCTGTAATTGTCCCCTGCTATTTCAATTCTTAGAGACAACCCTGAGTACATGCACAGCTGAAGTTAAAATTACATGTACCCATTTGTTTTTCAAACTTAAGTTTTCTGAAGCAAACAGACATGTACGCTTATACATGTATGTGTACAAGTTAGAATTACAAGTATGCATTTACATTTTTTTTTTTAGTAGTTAAAATGTGTATGTGAACATGTAAATACTTAAAATGGGATAGAGTCTTTCTCTTCAAATAATTCATACATGTATATTAACCTACTGTGATGAAAAAGAGGGAGACTCAGACCTCAAAAGAGGTAGCATTGCGTGCGTTGTTTTACACATCAACACATCTCCGTAGATATAAGAAAACATGCCATTAATGTATACAAATTATAAAAATTAAATCCAAGGGAGTGTAGATACTGATATGTTATCCTACTGCTTGAAAACTTTATTGACTCGTTACATGTAATACTATGTATTTCTAAATATATATTAAGCTCAGATACAATATAAGCAGTACGTATACTTTCCAATGCAATAACAATATATATATATATATATATATATATATATATATATACACACACACACAATAGAAATACATCGCAGCTCATTGCAGGTGAGAATATTTGTATCGAGTAACACAAGAGTGAATAATTCTTGTCCTCAAAGAAGGTGTGCTATATACTGAGGTATAGTTCTGCTTTACTGTGTTTTAGTTACAGTTGAATTTTACGATTTGCTTTCTCTTTAGTGTCTTTCATATCAAGAATGAAAATGCATAAAAGTCAGATATTAAACTGAAATAAAATACACAAGACCCTATAAAAAAATTAAAAAGTCTTAGAAAAGACAAGAATTTAAAAGTGTATAAAAGAGTGGCACCAGGTGGATTTGAACCACGACTCTAAAAAAGTGTATCTTTGGTGTATGTACTCAGCTGTTTTACCAATCCAGCTATTCTGGCTTTGAAAACAGAATGGTATAAATGCGAACTAGGTTTTTAAAAAAAGGTTTCCTTATAATTTTTTTTTTGGGTGAAATTCAACCCAAGGGTAGGGGTGCCCCTAAAAAAATTATTCCTTTTATCACAATCTATCAAAATATCATAATTTTATTTAGAAGCAGGCCTGCCCTGAAGGACTTGTAGGCCAAAATTAAAGCAAAAAATGTGCTTTAATGGACAAAATGGGGTTTTGGTTAATTTTTATGTTGTAAATAATAAATTTTAGGTTTAAAAAATTGAAAAAATTTAGACATATATACGGTAGTTAACAACTAATGAACATTGATTTTTAACAGTGACTTTTTCCGGGAAATTGTTCTCTCATACAGGTCAATTCTTTTCAAATAGTGAATACATCCTTTTAATTCAATTCTAATTTTATCCCCTGGCTGGTCCCCCCACTTTCAAAAACGATACTACGTCTCTGTAGTATTCCTATTAATTGTCGTTTAACTACATGTAACCGTACTTCATAACTTCTCTCGTTTCCTCTTCAATCCCCCCTTCGAAAATTTTCTAAATCCGCGCCTGCGCCCCAATATTTTACCATGAGTCGGGAGAGGGCAAACAACGTTAGGCCTATTTTAAAGATGGTCTGACCATAAACCGCATAATTAATATTATTGAAACCATTTTTTTCTACGACAACGTACAGGGAAACAAAATAAAAATTGTTGTGAATAATACCCCGAATTAGCCCTTTCACGATAACTGCGGTGCTACTCTTTTGCAGGGCAAATTAATAACTTTTGGCGAAGTTTTTGATGACAGATAATTAAATGACGCATATTAAACAATTGCTTTTACGTCATATTTCACCAAAATATATCATTTTGCCCTGCAAAAGAGCAGTACCGCAGTTATCGTGAAACAGTCAATATGCTCTGGGCAGTTTGCGTATATTCCCTGTAACTTACATTTTTTAATATGTTAGTTTATACTCATAGGCAACAACATAATTCTAATCAAAGAAATGGACCTTGAAAAATGTACACGCACATCAGTTACAATAATTCCACCATTCTGTCAATTACATACCATAAATTCTATCTAATACGCATCTCCGACCAGCGTCTGTCATGTATCTTTTCCTTCTGCATCAATATTTATTCGCCCGTATTTTTAAAAATAATTCTGATAACATAAACGGTCAACGCATTTAATTTGTTAAATGCCACTACAAAAGATTAACCAAAAGTTTGAACATTATATAGTATATTTTCCAGCACTTTAAGATTATAACACCATTTATCTTCGCACTATTTTGTATCTCTGAAATGATAAGTAGTTATGGGTCCCAAAGGCGGGAAATTAAATTTGGTCGTATGCACAGTAAGAAATTTTATTGTGATATAGGCCTAAATAAAACATATCTGCGCTGTACCTTACTGTTTTTAACAGATACTGTATATAAAATTAGACCTCCTAGCTGGTATCCTTATATGGTTATCTTACGCTGATTCCAGATGGGTTTTTTCGACCTATCTGTTCATTCCAATATAGATCTATACGTACGTTATACCCTCAGATTAATATTTGACATGTATTATATCTTATCCGAAATGGGTTTTTTTTCGACCTACCTGTAGTTTGTACTTTTTGTTTTTTTGTTTTTGTACTAACATATAGATGTACATGCCAACTTCCTGTGCAGATCCAGGATTTTTTTTTCCGGTGGAGGGGGGGTGGGGGTGTTCAACTTTAATCTCGCTCCGACCGACACCCGCAATGAGCAACGGGTGCGTGTGGTCGCTTGCCGTGGCCTAACCGCCGACTCCGAAACTTGCCCAAACCTGAAAAATCTATTTCGGGGGGGGGGGGGGGGTTAAGGCAAGACAATTTCTAAAGTCTACTTTCTTTAGATACATGACTTTCCTTACCATTTTACATGAGGGTCTGTGTTTCAGTTAGGCAGCATAGGGGATTGTCTTCCGGATTGTTAAATGTAAAATAATTTTTTAAACATTTGAGTCTACTTTAAATACACTTAAAAGTTGTTAAAATAAAGATTCTGACACATTCAGTCAACAAAAACCACGTTTAAAAAGACGTTCCACACTTATAAATAGTGTTTATGCGGAAGACAATCTCCCATGTTAGGCAGTTGTTAGGGGAGTCCATAACCATGCAAAGATTTTTTTCGTTAATTTACCAGTTTAACAGTGGCCTAGCTACCATGAATTGATGAATTGTATGCTCTCTCTTCCGAGAGCATCGTTTTGCCAAAATAGTAAATAAAATAAATTTTTAAAAATATATATTGAAAATGATGTTAGTAATAAACGTACTAGCTATAAGTACTATATTAAGTTGAATTTATACTTTTAGAAAAATATGTTACTTTTAATCAGGGACAGTTTATGCCCTTCTTGAATAACTATTTGGTTTCTCATATTACATTTGGAAATTAACAATTGGCAATACACGATAAGTTAGCTCCTTTCTAGTCATGTAAACTTTTGATCATGCGTAGTCTGTGTGCAATATATAATATCCAATATTGTTCTGATTAGTGCAACTATTTAATATAACATCTATTCTCAGATTAATCCGCAAATGTACAATTCTGTGATTAAACAATTTTATTATTTCCAGAAAAATATTCAAGTACGGGTTCAAAATCAAAATTGTTAAGCCAGCTATTCTCGAAAAGTTGACAGTACACTTTATTCCCTATATTAATGTAATTTTAAGGTATTGAAAAAAATAACCCCCCCCCCCAAAAAAAAACAATGTACCTTGAATTAGAATATAAGCGATTTCTTTACTTCATTTACTAGCATAACCTTTGGTTACCCATAGTTAAAATTTGTGAGTCAAGAACATCTAAGTACATGTACTCTTTTTTTTTCTATACCCGCACTTTCTAAAGAAAACGTCCGTTTGTCTGTCACACTTTCTTCTTCCTCCTCAGACTCCTCTTTTGTTTTAAG